AGGGCCCAGTATGGACCAATAAGAACCAGTATGGGACACTGCAGACCAGTATGGGCCAGTACGGACCAGAGGGAGCAGTATGGACCAGTAAGGACCAGTAAGGACCAGTATGGGCCAGTATGGGACACTGCAGAGCAGTATGGACCAGTATGGACTGGTGAGAACCAGTACGGACCAGTGTAGACCAGTCTGCACCAGTACGGACCAGTATGGACCCATACGGACCAGTACAGACCAGTATTGCCCAGTACAGACCACTACAGACCACCAGAGGGCAGCACCCCCACAGTTCAGACTTTCTGCCAGTACAAACCAGTACAGACCAGTATAAACCCACATGGACAGCAGAGCACCCACCCCCAGTTCCCACACTCTGCCCAGTATCAACCAGTATAAACCAGTATGGACCAGTATGGACCACTGTGGAACAGTAAGCTCCAGTATAAACCAGTACAGACCAGTGTAGAATATCCTGCACCAGTATAAACCAGTACAGACCAGTATAAACCAGTACAGACTGCTATGGAACAGCAAGCACCAGTATAAACCAGTACAGACCAGTGTAGAATATCCTGCACCTGTATAAACCAGTACAGACCAGTATAAACCAGTACAGACCGCTATGGAACAGCAAGCACCAGTATAAACCAGTACAGACCACTACTGCATATCCTACACCAGTATAAACCAGTATGGACCAGTATAACCAGTATGGACCAGTATAGACCAGTACAGACCAGTATAAGCCATAGAGACCACCATAGGATATCCTGCACCAGTATAAACCAGTATGGACCAGTATAGACCAGTACGGACCAGTACAAACCATAGAGACCACCATAGGATATCCTGCACCAGTATAAACCAGTATGGGCCAGCATACACCAGTACAAGCCAACACAAACCAGTCTGTGCCCCAGTCTGGATCAGAACAAGCTCCACTATAAACCAGTACAAGCCCAGTTCATTCCCAGTGCATCCCAGTATGAACCAGTGCACCCCAGTGCCCTCCCTGTCCCTCCCAGTGCTTCCAGTCCCTCCCAGTTTATCCCAGTCCCCCAAGTCCCATTCCCAGTCTCTCCAAGTCCCATTCCCAGTCCCTCCCAGTTTATCCCAGTCCCCCCCAGTCCCATTCCCAGTCTCTCCAGTCCCCCCCAGTTTATCCCAGTCTCTCCCAGTCCATCCCAGTCCCATTCCCAGTCCCCCCAGTCCCATTCCCAGTTTATCCCAGTCCCATTCCCAGTTTATCCCAGTCCCCCCCAGTCCCCCCAGTCCCATTCCAGTTCCCCCAGTCCCATTCCCAGTTCCCCAGTCCCATTCCCAGTCCCCATTCCCAGTTTACCCGTCCCTCCCAGTCCCCCCCAGTCTCTCCTAGTCCCATTCCCAGTTTATCCCAGTCCCATTCCCAGTCCCATTCCCAGTTTATCCCAGTCCCCCCCAGTCCCCCCCAGTCCCCCCCAGTCCCATTCCCAGTTTATCCCAGTTTATCCCAGTCCCCCCCAGTCCCATTCCCAGTCCATTCCCAGTCCCATTCCCAGTCCATCCCAGTCCATCCCAGTCCCCCCCAGTCTCTCCCAGTCCATTCCCAGTTTATCCCAGTCCCATTCCCAGTTTATCCCAGTCCATCCCAGTCCCCCCCAGTCCCCCCCAGTCCCTCCCAGTCCCATTCCCAGTTTATCCCAGTCCCCCCCAGTCCCCCCCAGTCCATCCCAGTCTCTCCCAGTTTATCCCAGTCCCCCCCAGTCCCATTCCCAGTCCCATTCCCAGTTTACCCCAGTCTCTCCCAGTCCATCCCAGTCCCCCCCAGTCCCCCCCAGTCTCTCCCAGTCCCATTCCCAGTCTCTCCCAGTTTATCCCAGTCCCATTCCCAGTCTCTCCCAGTCCCCCCCAGTCCCATTCCCAGTCCCATTCCCAGTTTATCCCAGTTTACCCCAGTCCATCCCAGTCCCCCCCAGTCCCATTCCCAGTCCCATTCCCAGTGCCCCCCAGTCCCTCCCAGTGCTTCCAGTCCCTCCCAGTTTGATCCCAGTGCCCCCAAGTCCCATTCCCAGTCTCTCCAAGTCCCATTCCCAGTCCCTCCCAGTTTATCCCAGTCCCCCCCAGTCCCATTCCCAGTCCCATTCCCAGTCCCATTCCCAGTTTACCCCAGTCTCTCCCAGTTTATCCCAGTCCCCCCCAGTCTCTCCCAGTCCCATTCCCAGTCTATCCCAGTCTATCCCAGTTTATCCCAGTCCCCCCCAGTCCCATTCCCAGTTTACCCCAGTTTACCCCCAGTCCCCCCAGTCCCATTCCCAGTCCCATTCCCAGTCCCATTCCCAGTCCCATTCCCAGTCCCCCCCAGTCCCATTCCCAGTCCCCCCCCAGTCCATCCCAGTCTCTCCCAGTCTATCCCAGTCCCCCCCAGTCCCATTCCCAGTCCCATTCCCAGTCCCATTCCCAGTCCCATTCCCAGTCCCATTCCCAGTCTATCCCAGTCCATCCAGTCCCCCCCAGTCCCCCCCAGTCTCTCCCAGTCCCATTCCCAGTCCCATTCCCAGTTTACCCCAGTCCCCCCCAGTCCCCCCCAGTCTCTCCCAGTCCCATTCCCAGTTTACCCCAGTTTACCCCAGTTTATCCCAGTCCCCCCCAGTCTCTCACCGCAGCTCGGGGCTCCCGGGGGGGGCAGCAGGGGGGGTCCCGCGGGGGGGGGGCTCCGGGGGGGCTGCAGCAGCTCCAGGAACCGGGGGGGCTCCGGGGGGGGAGGGGGCCAGGAGGGACCCCCCAGGGACCCCCCTCAGCCCAGGGCACCAGGGACAGCCGGCCTGGGGACATTGGGGACATTGGGGACATTGGGGACACTGAGGGGACATTGGGGACATTGGGGACACCAGGGACCCCCCTCAGCCCAGGGCACCAGGGACAGCCGGCCTGGGGACAGTGAGGGGACATTGGGGACATTGGGGACACTGAGGGGACATTGGGGACACCAGGGACCCCCCCTCAGCCCAGGCACCAGGGACAGCCGGCCTGGGGACATTGGGGACACTGAGGGGACACTGAGGGGACATTGGGGACATTGGGGACATCGGGGACCCCCCCTCAGCCCAGGGCACCAGGGACAGCCGGCCTGGGGACATTGGGGACACTGAGGGGACATTGGGGACATTGGGGACACTGAGGGGACATTGGGGACACTGAGGGGACATTGGGGACATTGAGGGGACATTGGGGACACCAGGGACACCAGGGATCCCCTCTCAGCCCAGGGCACCAGGGACAGCTGGCCTGGGACAGGGGGGACATTGGGGACATTGGGGACACTGAGGGGACATTGGGGACACCAGGGACCCCCCTCAGCCCAGGGCACCAGGGACAGCCGGCCTGGGGACAGTGAGGGGACATTGGGGACACTGAGGGGACATTGGGGACATTGGGGACACTGAGGGGACATTGAGGGGACATTGGGGACACTGAGGGGACATTGGGGACATTGAGGGGACACCAGGGACACCAGGGATCCCCTCTCAGCCCAGGGCACCAGGGACAGCCGGCCTGGGGACATTGGGGACATTGGGGACATTGGGGACACTGAGGGGACATTGGGGACCCCCCTCAGCCCAGGGCACCAGGGACAGCCGGCCTGGGGACATTGGGGACATTGAGGGGACATTGGGGACATTGGGGACACCAGGGACCCCCCTCAGCCCAGGGCACCAGGGACAGCCGGCATGGGGACAGTGGGGACATTGGGGACATTGGGGACACCAGGGACAGCCGGCCTGGGGACAGTCGGGACACTGTGGGGACACTGTGGGGACACTGTGGGGACACTGGGGACAAGGAGGATGGAGGGACATGGGGGACACAGCAGGGGGGACAGAGAGAACATGTGGGGGTTGTGGGGCTTTGGGGACAGAGGGGACAGAGGGGGACAGAAGGGACAGGGAGGACACAGGTGACACCGGGGACATGGGGGGTGACACAGGGGGTGACAGAGGTGACACAGGGGTGACATGGGGGGTGACACAGGTACAGGTGACCCAGGTGACACGGGGCGTGGGGGGGTGACATGGGATGACACAGGGGGTGACACAGGGGTGACATGGGGGGTGACACAGGTACAGGTGACACACAGGTGACCCAGGAGTGACCCAGGTGACACGGGGGGGTGACAGAGTGACACAGGTGACATGGGGGTGACAGGGGGGTGACATTGGGGTGACCTGAGGGTGAGCTGGGGGTGAGCCGGGGGTGACACAGGGGTGACCCAGAGGTGACATTGGGGGTGACCAGGGGTGACCCGGGTGTGACAGGGGGTGACACAGGGGTGACCCAGGGGTGACAGGGGTGACATTGGGGTGACACAATGACACAGGGGTGACACTGGGGTGTCACCCGGGGTGACAGGGGTGACACGGGGGTGGCACAGGGGTGACCCGGGGGTGACGGGTGACATTGGGGTGACACAGTGACACAGGTGACACAGGGGTGACCCGGGGGTGACCCAGAAGTGACACAGGGGGTGACCCGGGGGTGACATTGGGGTGACCCTGGGGTGACCCGGGGGTGACATTGGGGTGAGAGGGGTGACATTGAGGTGACATTGGGGTGACACTGAGGTGACCCAGGGTACCTGGCGCGGGGGGGAAGGGTCCCAGCAGCCCCCCCGGCTCCAGCCCCTCGGGCGCCCCCAGCCCCAGGAAGGGCCCGGCCTCGTCCGGGAACGGGGGGGGCCCCTCCGGCCCCCCCAGCGTCACAAACTCCATGGGGGACCCCAAAACCGGCCCGGGGGAGCCTGCAGAGAGAGCCCAGGTCAGCACCCCAAAAACACCAAAACTGAACCCCAAAAACACCAAAACTGAACCCCAAAACCGGCCCGGGGGAGCCTGCGGAGAGAGCCCAGGTCAGCACCCCAAAAACACCAAAACTGAACCCAAAAACCCCAAAACTGAACCCCAAAACCGGCCCGGGGGAGCCTGCGGAGAGAGCCCAGGTCAGCACCCCAAAAACCCCAAAACTGAACCCAAAAACCCCAAAACTGAACCCCAAAACCGGCCCGGGGGAGCCTGCGGAGAGAGCCCAGGTCAGCACCCCAAAAACACCAAAAATGAACCCCAAAAACCCCTGAGTGACCCCAAAACCGGCCCGGGGGAGCCTGCGGAGAGAGCCCAGGTCAGAACCCCAAAAACACCAAAGCAGAACCCCAAAAACCCCAAATCAGCACCCCAAAACCGGCACAGGGGAGCCTGCGGAGAGAGCCCAGGTCAGCACCCCAAAAACCCCAAAACTGAACCCCAAAAACCCCAAAACTGAACCCCAAAACCGGCCCGGGGGAGCCTGCGGAGAGAGCCCAGGTCAGCACCCCAAAAACACCAGAGCAGAACCCCAAAAACCCCAAATCAGCACCCCAAAAACACCAAAGAGAGTGACCCCAAAAACCCCTGAGTGACCCCAAAACCGGCCCGGGGGAGCCTGCGGAGAGAGCCCAGGTCAGCGCCCCAAAAACCCCAAAACTGAACCCCAAAAACCCCAAATCAGCACCCCAAAAACCCCAAAACTGAACCCCAAAAACCCCTCTGGGACCCCAAAACCGGCCCGGGGAGCCTGCGGAGAGAGCCCAGGTCAGCACCCCAAAAACCCCTCTGGGACCCCAGACCAGCACCCCAAAAACCCCTCTGGGACCCCAAAAATCCCAGGTCAGCACCCCAAAACCGGCACAGGGTGTGCCTGCAGACAGAGCCCAGAGCAGCACCCCAAAAACCCCAGATCAGCACCCCAAAAACCCAAAAATCCTGTGGGACCCCAAATCTACGGGGGGTGCCTGCAGAGAGCCCCCAGGTCAGCACCCCAAAACCCCTGTGGGATCCCAAACCAGCCCCCCAAAAACCCCTGTGGGATCCCAAACCAGCACCCCAAAAATCCCTGTGGGATCCCAAACCAGCACCCCAAAACCCCTGTAGAGCCCCACATGAGCACCCCAAAGTTCCTGCGTGACCCCAAAGCCCCCAATGCCCCCCAATCACCCCCAGGACCCCCAGGTTGCCCAAATGGGGATTTGGGGGTCCCCAACCCCTGCGGGTCACAGCCGCACCCCGAAAATCCTCCCACGGAGCCCTGGGGACCCCCAAACCCTGAAATGCCCAAACTGGGGGGCCCCGAACCCCAAAATCCCCAAACTGAGGGGGTCCCAAACCTCTGAGAACCCCCAAACTCTGAAATCCCCGAATTAGGGGGCCCCAAACCCTGAAATGCCCAAACCGGAGATCCCAAACCCCAAAATCCCCAAACTGAGGGGGTCCCAAACCTCTGAGAACCCCCAAACTCTGACCAACCCAAACTGGGGACTCCCAAACCCTGAGAACCCCCAAAACCCCCAAACCGGGCACCCCCAAACCCTCAAATCCCCAAACTGGGGGGGTCCCAAACCCCTGAGAACCCCCAAACCCTGAAACCCCCTAAACCTGGGACCCCCAAACCCCAAAAACCCCAAAAACCCCGAAGCCCCCAAACACCCGAAACCCCCAAACCAGGCGCCCCCAAACCCCAAAATCGCCAAACTGGGCACCCCCAAAATCCCCAGATTGGGGGGGTCTCAAATCCATGGGAACCCCCAAACCCTGAAACCCCCAAAATCCCCAAACCGGCATCCCCAAACCCCAAAATCCCCAAATTGGGCACCCCCAAACCCCAAATCAGGGGGTCCCAAACCCCTGGGGACCCAAATTGGGCACCCCCAAAACCCAAAATCCCCAAACTGGGGGGTCCCAAACCCCTGGAAGGAACCCCCAAACCCCAAAAACCCCAAACCATGCACCCCCAAACCCCAAAATCCCCAAATTGGGGGGTCCCAAAACCCCAAACCGGGCACCCCCAAACCTCAAAATCCTCAAACCTGGGACCCCCAAAACGCCAAAATCCCCAAACTGGGCACCCCCAAACCCCAAAATTCCCAAATTGTGGGGTCCCAAACCCCTGGGAACCCCCAAACTGGGGATCCCAAACCCCGAAATCCCCAAACTGGGAACCCCCAAATGGGGACCCCATAACCCCTGGGAACCCCCAAACTCTGACCACCCCAAACTGGGGACCCCAAACCCCAAAATTCCCAAATTGGGGACCCCCAAACCCCTGGGGACCCCCAAACTGGGCACCCCCAAAATCCCAAATTGGGGGGTCCCAAACCCCTGGGAACCCCCAAACCCCAAAAACCCCAAACCTGGAACCCCCAAACCCCTGGGGACCCCCAAACTGGGCACCCCCAAAATCCCCAAATTGGGGGGTCCCAAACCCCTGGGAACCCCCAAACACCCGAAACCCCCAAACCTGGCACCCCAAAATCCCCAAACTGGGCACCCCCAAACCCCCAAATCCCCAAATTGGGGGGTCCCAAACCCCTGGGAACCCCCAAACCCCAAAAACCCCAAACCTGGAACCAAACCGGGCACCCCCAAACCCCAAAATCCCCAAATTGTGGGGCCCCAAACCCCTGGGAACCCCCAAACCCCAAAAACCCCAAACTGGGGATCCCAAACCCCAAAATCCCCAAACTGAGGACCCCCAAACCCCTGGGGACCCCCAAACTGGGCACCCCCAAAATCCCCAAACTGGGGGGGTCCCAAACCCCTGGGAACCCCCAAACACCCGAAACCCCCAAACCAGGCACCCCAAAATCCACAAACTGGGCACCCCCAAACCCCTGGGGACCCCCAAACTGGGCACCCCCAAACCCCAAAATCCCCAAACTGGGGATCCCCAACCCCCCCGACCCTCCCCCCCACCCCCGGGGGGGCCTTTTTGGGTCCCCTCCCCCCCCCGGACCCCCCTGAACCCCCAAACCCGGGGTGGGGTCGGGGGTCCCTGACCTGGAGCCGCCGTGTCCGTCCCTGTCCCTCTGTCCCTGTCTGTCCCTGTCTGTCCCTGTCCCTCTGTCCCTGTCCCTCTGTCCCCGTCCCGCCCGGACAGACGGACGGACACGGGGGGGGGGGGGGGAAGGTGGGAGGGGCTCCAGGACCCCCACCCCTACCCCCCTCCCCCCACTTTGGACACCCCAAAACCTTTGGGGGGTCCCGGGGGGGTTTGGGGGGGGCAGAGCTCACCTGGCGCTGCGGGGCCTGCGGGGTCTGGGGGGTTTTGGGGATTTCTGGGGGATTTTGGGGATTTTTGGGGCGTTCTGGGGTTTGGGGTGCATCCGGGGGGGCGGTAACGGCCCCGGGGCTGCCGGGGGCTGATAAGGCCTTATCAGATCCTGGGGCCACGGCGGTTGCTGGGGGGGGCGGGCGGGGCCGGGGCCTTATCAGCTCCGGCCAGAGCGGGGGCAGGGCCGGGGCGGGGGACACCCCAAAAAAATGGGGGATGGCGCCCTAAAAATGGGGGATGGCACCCTAAAAAAACGGGGGATGGAACCCCAAAAACGGGGGATGGTGCCCTCAAAAAATGGGGAATGACAGCCCCAAAAAATGGGAATTGCACCCCCAAAAATCCGGGAATGGTGCCCCAAAAAGCGGGGGATGGCACCCAAAAAAATGGGGGATTGCACCCCAAAAAATCCGGGGATGGAGCCCCAAAAAAACTGGGGGATGGCACCCAAAAAAATGGGGAATGGCACCCCAAAAATGGGGGATGGAGCCCCAAAAATGGGGGATGGCACCCAAAAAATGGGAAATGGCAGCCCCAAAAATCCGGGAATGGTGCCCCAAAAAATGGGAATTGCACCCCTAAAAATCTGGGAATGGCGCCCCAAAAAATGGGGAATGGTGCCTCCAAAAAATCCGGGGATGGCACGCCCAAAAATGGGGAATGGTGCCCCTAAAAAACGGGGGATGGCACCCAAAAAAATGGGAATTGCACCCCCAAAAAATGGGGAATGGCACCCCAAAAATTGGGGAATGGCAGCCCCGAGAAATCCGGGGATGGAGCCCCAAAAAATGGAGAATGGCACCCCCAAAAATTGGGGAATGGTGCCCCAAAAATAGGGAATGGCACCCAAAAAAACGGGGATGGAACCCCAAAAAATGCGGGATGGCACCCCCCAAAAAAAGGGGATGACGCCCCAAAAATGGGGGATGGTGCCCCAAAAAACAGGGGATGGTGCCTGCAAAAAAATGGGGGATGGCACCCAAAAAACGAGGGATTGGACCCCAAAAACTGGGGAATGGCGCCCCCAAAAATGGGGAATGGCAGCCCCAAAAATGGGGGATGGTGCCCCAAAAAATGGAGAATGGAACTCCTAAAAAATGGGGGATGGCACCCAAAAAAACTGGGAATGGCATCCCAAAAAATGGGGAGTGGTGCCCCAAATTCCACACTGGCACCCCAAAAATTGAGAATTGAAGCCCTAAAAAATGGGGATGGAACCCCAAAAATGGGGAATGGTGCCCCAAAAAATGGGGGATGGAGCCCCAAATTCCACACTTACACCCCAAAATGGGGGATGGAACCCCAAAAAACTGGGAATGGTGCCCCAAAAATGGGGAATGGCACCCCAAATTCCACTCTGACACCCCAAAATGGGGAATGGCGCCCCAAAACCCTACAGACACCTCAAAATGGGGACAGAATTCCACACTGGCACCCCAAAACCAGGGATGGAAACCCCAAAAACGGGAACAGAATTCCACACTGACCCCCCAAAACTGGGACACCCCAAATTCCACACTGGCACCCCAAATTCAGGCCTGACACCCCAAATTCCAGCACTTTCACCCCAAATTCAGGCCCTGACACCCCAAATTTCAGCGCTTTCACCCCAAATTCAGGCCTGACACCCCAAATTCCCCACTGGAACCCCAAATTCAGGCCTGGCACCCCAAATTTCAGCACTTTCACCCCAAATTCAGGCCTGACACCCCAAATTCCGGGGCTTTCACCCAATATCAGGCCCTGACACCCCAAATTCCACACTGGCACCCCCAAATTCAGGCCTGACACCCCAAATTCCAGCATCTTTCAGCCTCTAAATTCGAAGTTTTCAGCTCGAAATTTGCAATTTTCAGCCTGAAAATGAATTTTTCAGCCCGAAATCGGGGGTTTGAACTGAAAATTTGGCATTTTTGGCCCCGAAATTTGAGGTCTCAAGGAAAAAAAATAAAAATAAGGATTTTCATGCCTGAAAAATGGCAGTTTTGGGCCAAAACCGAGGTTTGCAGCATGAAATTTGAGGCTGTCAAGTGAAAATTTGGGATTTTCAGCCCCAAATTCACTTTTTTCAGCAGCAAAATGGGGATTTTGAGCCACAAATTGGACATTTTCAACCCTTAATAAACCCCAAAAAAGCCAATTTTTGAGGGAAAAATGGAGTTGGGAGCAACAAATTTGAATTTCGGAGTAAAATTCAGGGGTTTTAACCTAAAATTTGTGATCTTTGGACCAAAATTCAGGAATTCCAGCCCAAAATTTGAGGTTTCAGGGTAAAATTCAGCATCTCCAGGCAAAGTTTGGGATTTTCAGCCTGAAAAAATGGGGATTTTCCTAATTATGTTTATTTTTTTGGCAACAAATCAGGAAATTGGAGCCCCAAATTTTGCATTTTTAGGACACAAAATTGGGGATTTCAGCAGAAACGGAGCTGAGGCCCAAATTTGGGTGTTTTACCTTAAAATTTGGTCTAAAATTGTAAAATTCACTCCCAGATTGGCCTTTCAGACACCAAAATGAGAATTTTGATTTTAATGGCAGAACCTGGAGATTTTTTTGGTTCAAAATTCTCATTTTCTGGCACCAAAGTTTTTAAAATTAATTCATTAATTTATTTATTTATTATTTATTATTTTTTATTTATTTTTTTATTTTTCTACTCCAAATTTGGCGTTTTTTTTGCCCCAAAGCTGGAGGTTTCCCACCCAAAAATTGGAATTTTTCAACCTGGAACTTCTATTGCCAACCCCAAAACTTGGATGTTTCCACTCAAAATTACAAATTTGAACCCAAAATTCACAATCCTCACCCCAAAAATTGGATGTTTCAGCTGAAAATTACAATTTTTAACCCAAAACTCACAATCCTCACCCAAATTTAGCAGCTCTAACCTGAAACTGAGAGTTTTCACCTAAATTCCGAATTTTCAAGACAAAACTGAAATTTTTCCCCTCTAAAACTGGAAATTTGCAGCCTGAAATTGGGGATTTTGCAACAAAACTCAGGGATTTTCACCCAAAAACCCAACATTTTCTGCCCCACGTTCCCAAACCCCCAAAATTAAGATTTTTTTTCTCTCTCACCTCTGATTTGGGCTCCAATCTGGAGATTTTGGGTCCAACCCGGGCGGTTTCCATCTCCTGCTGCAGCTCTGGTCCCAAATCCGAGGTTTTTGGCCCCAAATCCGAGGTTTTCACCACAAATTTGGGGGGTTTTGCCCAAAATCCGAGGTTTTCACCCCAAATCCGAGGTTTTTGGCCCCAAATCCGAGGTTTTCACCCCAAATCCGGCGGTTTTTGCCCAAAATCTGAGGTTTTCACCCCAAATCCGAGGTTTTCACCACAAATTCGGGGGGTTTTGCCCAAAATCCGAGGTTTTCACCCCAAATCCGGCGTTTTTTGCCCAAAATCCGAGGTTTTCACCCCAAATCCGGGGGTTTTTTGCCCAAAATCCGAGGTTTTCACCCCAAATCCGATGGTTTTTGCCCAAAATCCGACATTTTTGGCCCCAAATCCGATGTTTTTTGCCCAAAATCCGAGGTTTTCACCCCAAATCCGATGTTTTTTGCCCAAAATCCGAGGTTTTCACCCCAAATCCGGGGGTTCTGGGTGGGATTTTCCCCATTTTTGCTGCTCCTGGGGGCGCTGGTTTGGGGCTGGGGTCCCCCCAAATCTGGGGGGGATCTGGGACCCCCTGCATGGGGGGAGGGGCAATGGTGGGGAGGGGTCCCAGAGCCCCCCCCGGGGATCCCCAAAATGGGGAGGGGTCATCGATGGGGGGGGAGGGGCAGGGGGGGGGTCCCCAATTTGGGGAGGGGTCCCAGAGCCCCATGGGGGGGAAGGGGTCGGGGGGGGGCCATCAGGGACTCCCCAATTTGGGGAGGGGTCCTGCAGCTCCATGGGGGGGTCAGTGGGGGTCCCCCATATTGGGGAGGGGTCAATGGGGGTCCGCCCATATTGGGGAGGGGTCTCAGAGCCCCTGGGAGCCTCTCAGGGGTCCCCCATATTGGGCAGGGGTCCCAGGGGTCCCCCATATTGGGGAGGGGTCAATGGGGGGTCCCCATATTGGGCAGGGGTCAATGGGGGTCCCCCATATTGGGGAGGGGTCCCCAAGGCTGGGGAGGGGTCTCAGGGGCCCCCGGGGGTGTCAATGGGGGTCCCCCATTTTGGGGAGGGGTCTCAGGGGTCCCCCATATTGGGCAGGGGTCCCCCAGGCTGGGGAGGGGTCTCAGGGGCCCCCGGGGGTGTCAATGGGGGGTCCCCCACATTGGGGAGGGGTCCCAGGGCCCCTGGGGGGGGGGTCAGGGAGGGTCCCCCATATTGGGGAGGGGTCTCAGGGGTTCCTCACATTGGGCAGGGGTCTCAGGGCCCCTGGGGGGATCAATGGGGGTCGCCCATATTGGGAAGGGGTTCCAGGGGTCCCTCCCCATTTGGGGAGGGGTCCCAGGTCCCTGGGGGGGTCAATGGGGGTCCCCCAGGCTGGGGAGGGGTCCCAGGGTGTCAATGGGGGTCCCCACATTGGGGAGGGGTCTCAGGGGTCCCCGGGGGTGTCAATGGGGCCCCCCATATTGGGGAGTGGTCAATGGGGGTCTCCCAGGCTGGGCAGGGGTCCCCCACATTGGGGTGGTGTCAATGGGAGTCCCCCATATTGGGGAGGGGTCTCAGGGGTCCCCCATATTGGGGAGGGGTCCCAGGGCCCCCGGGCGTGTCAATGGGGCTCCCCCATATTGGGCAGGGGTCCCCCGGGCTGGGGAGGGGTCTCAGGGGCCCCTGGGGGTGTCAATGGGGGCCCCCCATATTGGGGAGGGGTCAATGGGGGTCTCCCACATTGGGGAGGGCCCCTGGGGGTGTCAATGGGGGTCCCCTCTATTGGGGAGGGGTCAATGGGGGTCCCCCACATTGGGGAGGGGTCCCAGGGTGTCAATGGGGGTCTCTCAGGGCTCCCCCATTCGGGCAGGGGTCCCAGGGCCCCGCGGGGGGGCAGTGGCAGTCTGGGGGTGTCAATGGGGGTCCCCCATGTTGGGGAGGGGTCCCAGGGTGTCAATGGGGGTGTCAATGGGGCTCCCCATGTTGGGGAGGGGTCCCAGGGTCCCAGCGGGGGGGCAGTGGCAGTCTGGGGGGGGTCAATGGGGCTCCCCCATTTTGGGGAGGGGTCTCTCAGGGCTCCCCCATTTTGGGGAGGGGTCTCAGGGCCCCTGGGGGTGTCAGTGGGGGTCCCCCATTTTGGGGAGGGGTCCCAGGGTGTCAATGGGGGGGTCAATGGGGGTGTCAGTGGGGGTCCCCCATTTTGGGGAGGGGTCCCAGGGCCCCGCGGGTGTTAATGGGGGTCTCCTCTATTGGGGAGGGGTCCCAGGGTGTCAATGGGGGTCCCTCATTTTGGGGAGGGGTCAATGGGGGTCCCCCATTCGGGGCAGGGGTCCCAGGGCCCCGCGGGGGGGGCAGTGGCAGTCTGGGGGTGTCAATGGGGGTCCCCCATTTTGGGGAGGGGTCCCAGGGCCCCGCGGGGGGGGCAGTGGCAGTTTGGGGGGGTCAATGGGGCTCCCCCATTTTGGGGAGGGGTCCCAGGGCCCCGCGGGGGGGCAGTGGCAGTCTGGGGGTGTCAGTGGGGCTCCCCCATTTTGGGGAGGGGTCCCAGGGTGTCAATGGGGGGGCAGTGGCAGTCTGGGGGGGGTCAATGGGGCTCCCCATTTTGGGGAGGGGTCAATGGGGGTCCCCCATGTTGGGGAGGGGTCCCAGGGCCCCGCGGGGGGGCAGCTCCAGCGCCGTGTCCAGGCTGAACTCGGGGGGGCGCGCGGGGCCCCCCCCGGGGCCGGGGGGGGGGCTCAGCTCCTGGGGCCCGAAGAAGAACGGGTGGAGCAGGGCCTGGGGGGAGGGGGCGTCAGGGACCCCCAAACACCACCGAAAATGGGGGGGGAGGGGCCTGAGTGACCCCAACCCCCCCCCAATGAGGGTCCTGGGGCTGTCAGTCCCTGAGAGCCCCAAAAACACCTGGGAGCCCTCCCCAAACACACCTCAGACCCCCCTAACACACCTGCAACCCCCCAAATACACCCAGGACCCCCCTAACACACCTGGGACCCCCCCCAAATACACCTGAGACCAAACACACCTGGGACCCCCCCCAAATACACCTGAGACCCCCCAAAAACACACCTGAGACCCCCAAATACACCTGAGACCAAACACATCTGGGACCCCCAAAAAAAACCCACACCTGGGACCCCCCCAAAAACACCCAGGACCCCCCAAATACACCTGGGACCCCTCCCCAAACACACCTGGGACCCCCAAAATACACCTGAGAACCCCCTCAAACACACCTGGGACCCCCCAAGAACACCTGACACCCCCCCCAAACACACCTGGGACCCCCTAAATAAACCTGGGGCCCCCCAAACACACCTGGGACCCCTCCCCAAACACACCTGGGACAGCTGCAGCAGGTCCAGTGCAGCCAATCTGGGGTACCTCAGTTCCCCCCAGTTCCCCCCAGTGCTCCCAGTTCCCCATTCCCCCAGTTTCCCCCAGTGCTCCCAGTCCCTCCCAGTGTTCCCAGTCCATACCTGGTGTGCCCGTGGGCGCAGCAGGACAATGGCTCCATCACAGGTACCCCAGTTCCCCATTCCCCCAGTTCCCCCCAGTGCTCCCAGTTCCCCATTCCCCCAGTCCCTCCCAGTTGCCCCAGTCCCTCCCAGTGTTCCCAGTGTTCCCAGTCCCTCCCAGTGTTCCCAGTGTTCCCAGTCCCTCCCAGTGTTCCCAGTCCATGCCTGGTGTGCCCTTGGGTGCAGCCGTGCCCGGTAATGCAGCAGGACAATGGCTCCATCACAGGTACCCCAGTCCCCCCCAGTCCCCCCCAGTTTCCCCAGTGCTCCCAGTGCTCCCAGTCCCTCCCAGTGCTCCCAGTCCCTCCCAGTGTTCCCAGTCCCTCCCAGTCCCCCCAGTCCATACCTGGTGTGCCTGGGGCCGCAGTCGTGCCCGGTAATGCAGCAGGACAATGGCTCCATCACGAGTACCCCAGTTCCCCATTCCCCCAGTGCTCCCAGTTCCCCCCAGTCCCTCCAGTCCCTCCCAGTGCTCCCAGTGCCCCCCAGTACTCCCAGTACCTGGTGTGCCCAGGGGCGCAGCCGTGCCTGGTAGCGCAGCAGGACAATGGCTCCATCACGGGTACCCCAGTTCCCCCCAGTTCCCCCCAGTCTCCCCCATTCCCCCAGTCCCTCCCAGTGCTCCCAGTCCCTCCCAGTGCTCCCAGTACCTGGTGTGCCTGGCGGCGCAGCCGTGCCCGGTAGTGATGCAGGACAATGGCTCCATCATGGGGACCCCAGTTCCCCATTCCCCCAGTCCCCCCAGTCCCCCCCAGTCCCCCCAGTCCCTCCCAGTGCTCCCAGTTCCCCCCAGTGTTCCCAGTCCCTCCCAGTGTTCCCAGTCCCTCCCAGTGTTCCCAGTCCCTCCCAGTCCCTCCCAGTGTTCCCAGTACCTGGTGTGCCCGTGGCCACAGCTGTGCCCGGTAATGCAGCAGGACAATGACTCCATCATGGGTACCCCAGTGCTCCCAGTCCCCCCAGTGCTCGCAGTTCCCCCAGTGCTCCCAGTTCCCCATTCCCCCAGTTCCCCCAGTCCCTCCCAGTCCCTCCCAGTGTTCCCAGTCCCCCCAGTGCCCCCAGTCCGTACCTGGTGTGCCCGTGGCCGCAGCCGTGCCCGGTAGCGCAGCAGCTGCTGCAGCAGGTCCAGCGCCGCGGCTCAGCGCCCGGCACCAGCAGCGCCAGCGGCGGCGCCGCCCGCGGCCGGAACCGCAGCTTGGGGAAATCGGGCAGCTCTGACAGCTCCTGGGGGACATGGGAACCAGTGTGAACCAGTATGGACCAGTATGGGCCAGTATGGGCCAGTATGGACCAGTATGGACCAGTATAAACCAGTGCAGGTCAGTACGGGCCCATGGCCGGAACCGCAGCTTGGGGAAATCGGGCAGCTCTGACAGCTCCTGGGGGGACGGGAACCAGTGTGAACCAGTATGGACCAGTACAGACCAGTATAAACCAGTACGGACCAGTATAAACCTGCATGGACCCGCGTAAAGCCGCATAAACCAGTATGGACCAGCATGGAACAGTATGGACCTGCATAAACCAGCATAAACCAGCACAAACCAGTATAAACCAGTATGGACCAGTATAGACCAGTATGGGCCAGTACAGGCCCATGGGCAGAACCGCAGCTTGGGGAAATCAGGCAGCTCAGACAGCTCCTGGGGGATGGGAACCAGTGTGAACCAGTATGGACCAGTACAGACCGGTATAAACCAGTATGGACCAGTATGGAACAGCGTAAACCTGCATGGACCCTTATAAACCTCTATGGAGCCACACAAACCAGTATAGACCAGTATGAACCAGTATAAACCTGTATGGACCTGCATAAACCAGCACAAACCAGTATGGACCAGTATGGACCCTTATAAACCTCTATGGAGCCACATAAACCAGCACAAACCAGTATAGACCAGTATGGACCAGTATGAACGAGTGCAGGTCAGTACGGGCCCAGGGACGGAACCGCAGTTTGGGGAAACCTGGCAGCTCTGACAGCCCCTGCAGGGACAGGAACCAGTATAAACCAGTATGGACCAGTATAAACCTGTATGGACCAGTATAAATCTGCATGGACCAGTATAGACCTGTACAGACCAGTATAAACCGGCATAAACCAGTATAGACCAGTATGGGCCAGTATAAACCATCATGGGCCAGTACAGGCCCATGGGCGGAACCGCAGCTTGGGGAAATCCGACAGCTCCTGGGGGGACAGGAACCAGTATGGACCAGTACAGACCACTGTGGACCAGTATAAACCAGTATGGGCCAGCACAGACCAGTATGGGCCAGTACAGACCAGTATGGGCCAGTACGGACCCGTGGGCAGAACTGCAGCTTGGGGAAATCCTGCACCTGCAACAGCTCCTGGGGGACAGCAACCACTATGGACCAGTATGGACCAGTATAGACCAGTACAGATCAGTATGGACCAGCAAAAACCAGTACAGTCCACTATAAACCAGTATGGGCCAGTATGGACCAGTGCAGGCCAGTACAGGCCCATGGGCAGAACAGAGCCTGGGGAAATCGGGCAGCTCAGACAGCTCCTGCAGGGACAGGAACCAGTATGGACCAGTATAAACCAGTATGGACCAGTACGGACCAGTGTGGGCCAGTATAAACAGCATAAACCAGTATGCACCAGTATGGACCAGTAGGGAGCAGTGCAGACCAGTATGGGCCAGTGTAAACCAGTACAAACCAATATAAATCTGTGCACACCAGTATGACCCAGTATAGGCCAATATAAATCAATATAAATTAATACAGACCAGTGTAAACCAGTACGGGCCAGTATGGACCAGTACAAACCAGTATGCATCACTTATACCACTACAAACCACTACTGACCAGCACAAACCAGTATAGACCAGTATAAACCAGTACAGACCAGTCTAAACCAGTGTAAACCAGTGCAGACCAGCACACCCCAGCATTTACTGGTATAAACCACTCTGGACCAGTATAAACCAGTACAGACCAGTCTAAACCAGTGCACACCAGTGCCTCCCTGTGCCTATGGACCAGTATAAACCAGTACAGACCAGTCTAAACCAGTGCACACCAGCACCTCCCAGTGCCCTCCAGCTGCTCTCCCAGTGCTCCCAGTGCCCTCCCAGTGCTCCCAGTGCCCTTCCTGCCTCTGTCCCAGTCCCTCCCAGTGCTCCCAGTGCTCCTCTCCCAGTGCTCCCAGTCTCTCCCAGTCCCTCCCAGTCTGTCCCAGTCACCCCAGTCCCCCCATTCCCCCCCAATGCTCCCAGTCCCCATTCCCAGTCCCTCCCAGTTTGCTCCCAGTGCCCCCAGTCTCACCACAGTTTGATCCCAGTCCCCCCAAGTCCCATTCCCAGTCTGTCCCAGTTCCTCCCAGTGCCGTCCTGCCCCTCTCCCAGTCTGTCCCAGTCTGTCCCAGTCCCTCCCAGTGCTCCCAGTGCCATCCTGCCCCTCTCCCAGTCCATCCCAGTCCCCCCCAGTCCGTCCCAGTGCTCCCAGTCCCTCCAGTACCAGCCAGTCCCTCCCATTGCCCCTGTCCCAGTCCCCCCCAGTCCCCCCAGTCGGTCCCAGTGCTCCCAGTCCCTCCCAGTGCTCCCAGTGCCATCCTGCCCCTCTCTGAGTCCATCCCAGTCCCTCCCAGTCCGTCCCAGTGCACCCAGTACCAGCCAGTCCATCCCAGTGCCCTTCCTGCCTCTCTCCCAGTCCGTCCCAGTGCTCCCAGTCCCTCCCAGTCCCTCTCCCAGTCCCCCTCAGTCCATCCCAGTGCTCCCAGTCCCCCCAAGTCCCATTCCCAGTCTGTCCCAGTCCCTTTCAGTCCCCCCCAGTGCTCCCAGTCCCTCCCAGTTCCTCTCCCAGTCCCCCCCAGTCCCTCCCAGTCCCTCCCAGTGCTCCCAGTCCCTCCCAGTCCCCCCCAGTCTGTCCCAGTGCTCCCAGTGCCCCCCACTCCCCCCAGTCTGTCCCAGTCCCTCCCATTGCCCCTGTCCCAGTGCTCCCAGTCCCCCCAGTACCGGCCAGTCCATCCCAGTCCATCCCAGTCCGTCCCAGTGCTCCCAGTCCCTCTCCCAGTCCATCCCAGTCCTTCTTCCAGTGCCCCCAGTACCGGCCAGTCCCTCTCCCAGTCTGTCCCAGTGCTCCCAGTCTGTCCCAGTCTGTCCCAGTCCCCCCAGTCCCTCTCCCAGTCCCTCTCCCAGTCCCTCTCCCAGTCTGTCCCAGTCTGTCCCAGTCCGTCCCAGTCTGTCCCAGTCTGTCCCAGTCTGTCCCAGTACCGGCCAGTCCCGGGGGCTGGGCGTGCCCAGGGCCCGCAGCACACAGCACAGCTGCTCGATGTCGTTCTCCCCCGGGAACAGCGGCGACAGCGTCAGCAGCTCCCCGAAAATGCAGCCCACGGCCCTGGGGGACCCCGGAATACCACAGGGACCCCGAAATCCCACAGGGATCCCGAAATCCCAAAGGGATCCCCGAAATACCACAGGGACCCCGAAATACCACAGGGATCCCAAAATACCACAGGGATCCACGAAATACCACAGGGACCCCGAAATACCACAGGGACCCCGAAATACCACAGGGACCCCAAAATACCACAGGGATCCCAAAATACACAGGATCCCGAAATACCACAGGGACCCCAAATACCACAGGGACCCCAAAATACCACTGGGATCCACGAAATCCCAAAGGGATCCCCGAAATCCCAAAGGGATCCACGAAATCCCAAAGGGATCCCTAAATACCACAGGGATCCCAAATACCACAGGGACCCACGAAATCCCAAAGGGACCCCGAAATCCCAAAGGGACCCCGAAATACCACAGGGACCCCTGAAATCCTACAGGGATCCCCGAAATCCCACAGGGACCCCGAAATCCTACAGGGACCCCCAAATACCAAAGAGACACCCAAAATACCAAAGGGACCCCAAAAATCCCAAAAGGACACCCGAAATACCACAGGGATCCACGAAATCCCAAAGGGACACCCGAAATCCCAAAGGAACCCTGAAATCCCAAAGGGATCCCCAAACCCCAAAGGGATCCCTGAAATCCCAAAGGGACCCCAAAATCTCACAGGGATCCCTAAAATCCACAGGGAACCCCCCCAATACCAGGGGATCCCAAAATCCCAAAGGGAGCTCTGAAATCCCACAGGGATCCCCGAAATACCACAGGGACCCCAAATACCACAGGGTCATCCCCAAAATCCACGGGGAGCCCCCAAAATCCCGGGGGGAGCCCCTAAAATCCACGGGGACACCCCAAACCCCCGAGGGACACCCCCCAAAATCCACGGGGACAGCCCCAAAAAATCCTACAGGGATCCCCGAAATCGCGGGGGGACACCCCAAAATCCACGGGGACACCCCGAAATCCCCCGAAATCCATGGGGACACCCCCCAAAATCCCGGGGCGACACCCCAAAATCCCCCAAAATCCATGGGGAGCCCCCAAAATCCCATGGAGACACCCCTAAAATCCACGGGGACACCCAAAAATCCACGGGGACACCCCCCAAAATCCACGGGACACCCCAAAAAAATCAAGGATAACACCCCAAAATCCCACGGGGACACCCCAAAATCCCAGAGGGATGGCCCCCAATCCCAGGAGATCCCCAAAAATCCACGGGGACACCCCAAAATCCCACAGGGGACACCCCAAAATCCCACAGGGACGCCCCCCAATCCCAGGAGATCCCCAAAAATCCACGGGGGACACCTCCCAAAATCCACGGGGACACCCAGAATCTTAGGGGAATCCTCAAAATCCACGGGGACACCCCAAAATCCATGGGGGAGAGCCCCTAAAATCCACATGGACACCCCAAAATCCACGGGGACACCCCCAAATTCCCACAGGGGACCCCCCAAATCCACAGGGACAGCCCCCAAAACCCCGGGGGACACCCCAAAATCCACAGGAACGCCCCCAAATCCCAGGAGATCCCCAAAAATCCACGGGGACACCCCAAAATCCATATGGACAACCCCAAAATCCATGGGGGAGCCCCCAAAATCCACGGGGACACCCCAAAACCCCGGCGGGAAGCCCCCCCAAATCCATGGGGACACCCCAAAATCCACAGGAACGCCCCCAAATCCCCAGGAGATCCCCAAAAATCCACGGGGACACCCCCAAATCCCCCAAAATCCATGGGGACACCCCCCAAATCCACATGGACACCCCAAAATCCCCCAAAATCCCCAAAATCCACGGGGGACACCTCCCCAAAATCCACATGGACACCCCAAAATCCCAAGGGGAGCCCCCAGAATCCACGGGGACACCCCAAAAATCCCACAGGGATCCCCCGAAATCCCGGGGGGACACCCCAAAATCCCCCAAAATTCACGGGGAGCCCCCGAATCTCGGGGGACACCCCAAAATCCACATGGACACCCCAAAATCCCGGGGGGAGCCCCCAAAATCCATGGGGACACCCCAAAATCCATCAGGAGAGCCCCTAAAATCCACGTGGAGCCCCAAAAATCCACGGGGGACACCCCTAAAATCCACGGGGAGCCCCCAAAAACCCACATGGACAACCCCAAAATCCCCACATGGACACCCCAAAATCCACGGGGACACCCCAAATCCCACAGGGGACCCCCCAAAACCCCACAGGGGACCCCCCAAACCCCCATGGGCACCCACCACAGATCCACGCCCTCGTCGTAGTGCCGGGCTCCATAGAGCAGCTCTGGGGCTCGGTACCACCTGCACAAAGTGGGGGGGCTCAAGAGAGGGGGTCCCCTCGGCTTTTTGGGGACCCCCCGAGGGTGGGGACACCCCGAAATCGATACCTGGTGGCCACCTGGTGGCTGTAGGGGCGCCCCGAGGGCGGGCCCAGCACCCGCGCCAGCCCAAAATCCGCCAGCTTGAGGCGCCCGGCGCTGTCCAGCAGCAGATTGGCTGGCTTCAGGTCCTGCACCCCAAAAACGGCATCAGGGGGGACCCCCGTGCTCGGGGAACGCCTCCCTTCCCCCCCCCCCAGACCGGGAACACCCCCGGAATGCGGGTTTTGGGGTGCCCTGCTCGATTTTGGGGTGCCCCAATCGATTTTGTGCGGTCTCAGCACTTTCAATCCCTGCAGGGGTATTGAGGGATATTGGGGGATATTGGGGTCCCCCCAGGTGCCCATCCGGTTTTTGGGGTGTCCTGCAGATGTCTGAGCTTCCCCCGCCCTGATTTTGGGGTCCCACACCCAGTTTTGGGGTGCCCCCATCGATTTTGGGGCGCCCCCCTCGATTTTGGGGAGTCCCAGCACTTTCAATCCCTGCAGATATTGAGGTACCCTCAGGTGCCCATCCCGGTTTTGGGGGTGTCCTGCAGCTGTCTGAGCCTCCCCCCGACCCCATTCTGGGGTCCCCCCCATTTTGGGGTGCCCCCCTCGATTTTGGGGCACCCCGCTCGATTTTGGGGAGTCCCAGCACTTTCAATCCTGCAGGGGTATTGATATTTGGGATATTGGGGGATATTGGGGGATATTGGGGTACCCCCAGGTGCCCATCCCGGTTTTGGGGTGTCCTACAGCTGAGCCTCTCCCCACCCTGATTTTGGGGTCCCCACCCAGTTTTGGGGCGCCCCCCTCGATTTTGGGGTGCCCCGCTCGATTTTGTGGGGTCTCAGCCCTTTCAATCCCTGCAGGGTATTGGGGGATATTGGGGGATATTGGGGTCCCCCTCAGGTGCCCACCCTGGTTTTGGGGTGTCCTGCAGCTGCCTGAGCCTCTTCCACTCTGATTTTGGGATCCCACACCCAGTTTTGGGGTGCCCTCCTCGATTTTGGGGAGCCCCAGCACTTTCAATCCAATCCCTGCAGATATTGGGGTCCCCCTCAGGTGCCCATCCCGGTTTTGGGGTGTCCTGCAGCTGCCTGAGCTTCCCCCCACCCCCATTTTGGGTTATCCCCAATTTTGGGGAGCCCCCATCGATTTTGGGGTGCCCCGCTCGATTTTGGGGTGCCCAGCACTTTCAATCCCTGCAGATATCGGGGTCCCCCTCAGGTGCCCATCCCGGTTTTGGGGTGTCCTGCAGCTGAGCCTCCCCCCGACACCATTTTGGGGTCCCCACCCAGTTTTGGGGTGCCCCGCTCGGTTTTGGGGTGCCCCAACCCTTTCAATCCAATCCCTGCAGATATTGGGGTACCCCCAGGTGCCCATCCCGGTTTTGGGGTGTCCTGCAGCTGCCTGAGCCTCTTCCACTCCGATTTTGGGGTCCCCACCCAGTTTTGGGGTGCTCATGTGGGGTGGGAGGTGCCTCTCCCCAGTCCCAGGGTTCCCCCCATTTTTGGGGTCCTCCCTTATTTTGGGGTCCCTCACCCAGCGCAGCCACTGGTGCCAGTGTCCCCCCCATTCCCAATGCCCCCCATATTTTTAGGGTCCCTCTCCCAATTTTGGGGTCCCTCACCCCGTTTTTGGGTCTCCATTCCCATTTTCGGGGTCCCTATCCCATTTTCGGGGTCCCTCACCCCATTTTTGGTGTCCATAACCCCATTTCAGGGTCCCTCACCCCGTTTTTGGGGTCCCCATTCCCATTTTCGGGGTGCCTCCACCCTGTGCACGAGGTGCTGGCCGTGCACGTGGCCCAGCTCCCCCCATTTTTGGGTTCCCCTATCCCATTTTTGGGGTCTCTCACCCCGTTTTTGGTGTCTCCATTCCTGTTTTTGGTGTCCATAACCCCATTTTCAGGGTCCCTCTCCCATTTTTGGGGTTCCTCACCCCCGTTTTTTGGGGTTCCTCACCCCATTTTTGGTGTCCCCTACCCCATTTTTGGGTCCCCATTCCCATTTTTGGGTTCCCCTACCCCATTTTTGGGGTCCCCATTCCCATTTTTGGGATCCCTCACCCCATTTTGGGGTCCCTCACCCCATTTTTTGGGTTCCCCTACCCCATTTTTGGGGTCCCCATTCCCATTTTTGGGATCCCTCACCCGTTTTTGGTGTCCATAACCCCATTTTTGGGGTCCCCATTCCCATTTTTGGTGTCCATAACCCCATTTTTGGGATCCCTCACCCCATTTTTGGGTTCCCCATTCCCATTTTTGGTGTCCATAATCCCATTTTTGGGGTCCCCTATCCCAGTTTCTGGGTCCCTCACCCTGTTTTTAGGGTCCCCATTCCCATTTTTGGGGTCCCTCACCCCATTTTTGGCGTGTCCCTCACCCCATTTTTGGGGTCCCCATTCCCATTTTTGGGGTCCCTCACCCCATTTTTGGGGTCTCCATTCCCATTTTTGGTGTCCATAACCCCATTTTCAGGGTCCCTCACCCCGTTTTCGGGGTCTCCATTCCATTTTCGGGGTCCCTCACCCTGTGCACGAGGTGCTGGCCATGCACGTGGCCCAGCCCCCCCATTTTGGGTTCTCCTATCCCGTTTTCGGGGTCCCCATTCCCATGTTTGGTGTCTCCTATCCCATTTTTGGGCTCCCCATCCCATTTTTGGGGTTCCCATTCCCATTTTTGGGTTCCCTATTCCGTTTTCAGAGTGCCTCACCCCGTTTGCGGGGTCCCTCACCCCATTTTCGGGGTCCCCATTCCCATTTTTGGGGTCTCCATTCCCATTTTTGGTGTCCATAACCCCATTTTTAGGGTCCCTCACCCCGTTTTCGGGGTCCCTCACCCCATTTTCGGGGTCCCCTATCCCATTTTTGGGGTCCCCTATCCCGTTTTCGGGGTCCCCATTCCCATTTTTGGGGTCCCCATTCCCATTTTTGGGGTCCCCATTCCCATTTTCGGGGTCCCTCACCCCATTTTTGGTGTCCATAACCCCATTTTTGGTGTCCCTCACCCCATTTTCGGGGTCCCCATTCCCATTTTTGGGGTCCCCCCATTCCCATTTTCGGGGTCCCCATTCCCATTTTTGGTGTCCATAACCCCATTTTTGGGGTCCCCTATCCATTTTCTGGGTCCCTCACCCTGTTTTTAGGGTCCCCATTCCCATTTTTGGGGTCCCTCACCCCATTTTTGGGGTGTCCCTCACTCCATTTTTGGGTTCCTCATTCCCATTTTTGGGGTCTCCATTCCCATTTTCGGGGTCCCTCACCCCGTTTTTGGTGTCCATAACCCCGTTTTTGGGGTCTCCATTCCCATTTTCGGGGTCCCTCACCCTGTGCACGAGGTGCTGGCCGTGCACGTGGCCCAGCCCTCCCCATTTTTGGGTTCCCCATTCCATTTTTAGGTTCCCCATTCCCATTTTCGGGTCCCCATTCCCATTTTGGGTTCCCCATTCCCATTTTCGGGGTGCCTCACCCTGTGCACGAGGTGCTGGCCGTGCACGTGGCCCAGCCCCCCCATTTTTGGGTTCCCCATTCCCATTTTTGGGGTTCCCATTCCCATTTTTGGGTTCCCCATTCCCATTTTCGGGGGTGCCTCACCCTTTTGTGCACGAGGTGCTGGCCGTGCACGTGGCCCAGCCCCCCCATTTTCGGGTTCCCCATTCCATTTTCGGGGTCCCTCTCCCCGTTTTGGGGTGCCTCACCCTGTGCACGAGGTGCTGGCCGTGCACGTGGCCCAGCCCCCGCAGGGTCATGGCCAGCAGGGCCCTCACCCGGGCCGGGGGCAGCGGGGCCGGGGCCGCCCGCAGGAGCCCCCCCAGGTCCCCAACCAGGAGCTCCAGGCCAGAACCACGGCAGGGCCCTGGGCAAAGGCAGCACGGAGCCGGATCACCTGTGGGGACAGCAATGGGGACAGTGACAGTGACACAGTGACACAGTGACACCTGGGACAGAACCACGGCAGGACCCTGGGCAAAGGCAGCACGGAGCCGGATCACCTGTGGGGACAGCAATGGGGACAGCAATGGGGACACTGACAGTGACACAGTGACACCTGGGACAGTGACACCTGGGACAGAACCACTGCAGGGCCCTGGGCAAAGGCGGCACGGAGCCGGATCACCTGTGGGGACAGCAATGGGGACATCAGGGACAGCAGGGACAGTGACAGTGACACCTGGGACAGTGACACCTGGCCAGAACCACGGCAGGACCCTGGGCAAAGGCGGCACGGAGCCGGATCACCTGTGGGGACAGCAATGGGGACAGCAATGGGGACAGTGACAGTGACACAGTGACACCTGGGACAGTGACACCTGGGCCAGAACCACGGCAGGACCCTGGCAAAGGCGGCACGGAGCCGGATCACCTGTGGGGACAGCAATGGGGACAGCAATGGGGACAGTGACAGTGACACAGTGACACCTGGGACAGTGACACCTGGCCAGAACCACGGCAGGACCCTGGGCAAAGGCGGCACGGAGCCGGATCACCTGTGGGGACAGCAACGGGGACATCAGGGACAGTGACGGTGACACCTGGGACAGTGACGGTGACACCTGGGACAGTGACAGTGACACCTGGGACCCTGGGCAAAGATGGTACAGAGCCAGATCACCTGCGGGGACAGCAATGGGGACAGTGACAGTGACACCTGGGACAGTGACACCTTGGGACAGTGACACCTAGGGCAATGACAGTGACACCAGAACCACGGCGGGGCCCCGGGCAAAGGCGGCACGGAGCCGGATCACCTGTGGGGACAGCAATGGGGACATCAGGGACACTGACAGTGACACCTTGGACAGTGACAGTGACACCAGGGACAGTGACAACTGGGACAGAACAACCACAGGGCCCTGGGCAAAGGCGTCATGGAGCTGGATCACCTGCAGGGACAGCAATAGGGACACCAGGGACACTGACAGTGACACCAGGGACAGTGACACCTGGGACCCTGGGCAAAGGCGGCATGGAGCCGGATCACCTGTGGGGACAGGGGCGGACATCAGGGGACAGCGGGGGGACAGTGACACCTTGGGACAGTGACACCTGGGGGGACAGCGGGGACAGCAGTGAGGACAGCGGGATTGGAACCAGATCACCTGCGGGGACAGTGGGGGACAGTGCTGGGGACAGGAACACTGGGGGACATCAGGAACACTGGGGACACCAGGGACAGTGACACCAGGGGGGACACCGAGATTGGAGCCGGATCACCTGCGGGGACAGTGGGGGGACAACAGTGGGGACAACAATGGAGACATCCAGCAGCGACATCAGTGGGGACACGGAGAACACGGGGGACACCGGGGACAGTGACACCTGGAGGGGACGTAGGGACGGTGACACCTCGGGGGACACCGGGATTGGAGCGGGCTCAGCTGCGGGAGGGGACACCGAGGGGACACGGGGACCCTAGAGAAGGGGGAACCCTGAGCTGGGGGGACAGGCGGCCTGGGGGACACGGGGGAGCCGTATGGGGACACCAGGACTGCGGGGGGGCACCGAGATGGGCTCGGGGGGGCACCAAGGACTCGGGAAGGGGCACAAGGGACTATGGGGGGACAAGAGGGACTATGGGGAGCACCAGGGACTCGGGGAGCCCCCGGATGTGGGGTCACTCACATGGGGGTGCGCCTCCATCTCGCGCAGGGCTTTGATCTCGCGCAGGGTCTGTGGGGGCAGCCCCTCCTCGGGGCGCCGCAGCGGCACCTTCTTGAGGGCCACCAGCTCCCCGGTCTGGGGGGACACGGGGGGGGTCAGGGAGGCCCCGCCGGGCCGCGTTACCCACCCCGAGCCCCCGAGCCAGCCCCCGGCCCCACCTCGCGGTGCTTGGCCTTGAACACGACGCCGTGCGCGCCCTCCCCGATGCGGCCCAGCACGATGTACTGCTCCATGCCGCGGGGCATTGTGGGCCGGCCCGGGCCTCCACCGCCCCACACTGCCCCGCGCCGAGCCCGCCGCACCTGGTTGCCATGGCGATAGGCCCCGCCCCTGACACCAGCCCTGGCAACAGCCAATAGCGCGCTGCTGTGAGCAAGTAGGCCCCGCCCCTAGCAACGCGCTCCCTGGCAACAGGCCACGCCCCCAGCATCCGTCGCTGCAGCCCAGCAAACCCCGCCCCTAGCAACCCGGTCAGGCCCCGCCCCTAGCAACGCGACGGACCCTAGCAACACCGGCCAGATCCCCGGCAACGAGGCCCCGCCCATAGCAACAGAGCTCCGCCCCTTAGCAACCAGGCCCCGCCTCCCCGGCATCCCCCGCTCCCCGGCAACCGCGCCCCGCCCTTGGCAACGGCCGCCCCGTCGCGCGCCGCCATTTGGCCGCGCTGCGCTCTGATTGGTCATCGCCGCCGCGCGGGGCGGGACGGCGGGTGCTGATTGGTGGGCGCGGGGGCCCCGCCCCTTTCCCCTCAGGCGGGCGGGCGGCAGCGCCGGGCGAGGCGCGGGCGGGGGATTTGGGGGATTTTGGGGTTTTTTTGGGGTCTTTTTGGGGTTTTTGTGGGGTCCTCGCACGCAGCGACCCCGCTCGGGTCGGGATGTCGGCGCTGCCTCCGCGAGAGTTCGCGGCGCAGGTGCTGCCCGGCTGCGTGGTGCCCACGGCGCGCCAGGGCCTGGCCCAGCTCTGGCCGCTGCTGCTGCTCTGCCTGGGGGCGCGGCTGCTGCACCGACTGCGTGAGTGGGGCCGGACGGGGGGACACCGGGGGGAACCGGGGCCCTGGGCAGGCCGGAGGGGTGGGGGACACCCGGGAGGTTCCGGGGGGTTCCGGGGTCTGGGCAGGCCGGAGGCTGGGGGCACATACAGGGATCTGGGGGGAACCGGGGCTCTGGGGGTTTCTGAGGCTCTGGGGAGTTCCGGGGGCCCGAGGGGGTCCGGGAGGTTCCAGGGGTCTGGGGGTGTTACCAGGTTTGGGTGAGGGGCACCCGGGGTCTGGGGGTGTTCCCAGGGTTTCAGGTGAGGGGACCCCTGGGTTTTTGGGGGTGTTCCGGGTTTTGGGTGAAGGGCACCTGGCGTTTTCAGGTTTGGGGACCCCCGGGATGTGGGGGTGTTGCTGGTTTGGGTGGGGGGACACCTGGTTTGGGGTTTGGGGACCCTGGGATGTGGGGCTGTTGCTGGTTTGGGTGGGGGAACACCCGTGGTTTGGGGGTTTGGGTGACCCTGGATGTGGGGGATGTGGGGGTGTTGCTGGGTTTGGGTGGGGGGGATCCCCGGGGTTTGGGGTTCAGGGACCGCCGGGGGTTTCAGGTTTGGGGACCCCCGGGGTGTGGGGGCAGTGTCTGGTTTGGGGTTTGGGGACCCTCGGGGTTTTGGGCTCAGGGACCCCCGGGATGTGGGGATGTTCCCAGTTTGGGTGAGGGGACCCCCGGAATTTGGGGTGAGGGGACCCCCGGGGTTTGGGGGCGTTGCTGGGTTTGGGTGACGAGACCTCCAAGGTTTTGGGTGAGGAGACCCCCGGAATTTGGGGTGAGGGGATCCCCGGGGTTTGGGGGCATTGCTGGTTTTGGGTTCAGGGACCCCCAGGGTGTGGGGGTGTTACCGGGTTTGGGTTGAGGGGACCCCCGGGGTTTCAGGCTCAGAGATCCCCGGGGTTTGGGGGCATTGCCGGTTTTGGGTGAGGGGATCCCCAGGGTTGGAGGGGACCCCCGGGGTGTGGTTTCAGGCTCAGAGATCCCCGGGGTTTGGGGGCATTGCCGGTTTTGGGTGAGGGGATCCCCAGGGTTGGAGGGGACCCCCCGGGGTGTGGGGGCAGTGGTCCGGTTTGGGGTTCAGGGACCCCCAGGTGTTGGGGGCAGTGCCCAGTTTGGGGTTCAGGGACCCTCAGGGTGGGGGGCAGTGCCCAGTTTGGGGTTCAGGGACCCCCAGGATGGGGGGGCAGTGTCCAGTTTGGGGTTCAGGGACCCCCAGGGTGGGGGGCAGTGTCCAGTTTGGGGTTCAGGGACCCCCAAGGTCTGGGGGGGCAGTGTCCAGTTTGGGGTTCAGGGACCCCCCAGGTGTGGGGGGCAGTGCCCAGTTTGGGGTTCAGGGACCCTCAGGGTGGGGGCAGTGCCCAGTTTGGGGTTCAGGGACCCCCAGGTGTGGGGACATTGCCAGGTTTGGGTGAGGGGGACCCCTGGGCTTTCAGGGGAGGGGGATTTCTGGGGTTTGGGGTGGTTTTGGGTTCAGGGATCCCCGGGGGTGTAGGAGCAGCGTCCGCTTTGGGGGGTTCAGGGACCCTCAGGGTGGGGGTGGTACCAGGTATGGGAGTGCCTGGGGTTTGGGGTTCGGGGATCCCCGGGGTTTGGGGTTCAGGGACCCCGGGGTTTGGGGTTCATGGATCCCTGGGGTTTGGGGTTCATGGATCCCCGGGGTTTGGGGTTCAGGGATCCCCGGGGTTTGGGGTTCAGGGACCCCGGGCTCTGGGGGTGGTACCAGGTTTTGGGGTGCCCTGGGTTTGGGGTTGATGGATCCCCGGGCTCTGGGGTTCAGGGATCCCCGGGGTTTTGGGGTTCAAGGATCCCCGGGGTTTGGGGTTCATGGACCCCCGGGGTTTGGGGACCCCCGGGCTCTGGGGGTGGTACCAGGTTTGGGGGTGCCCTGGTTTTGGGGTTCAGGGATCCCTGGGTTTTGGGGGTTCAGGGATCCCCGGGGTTCGGGGTTCAGGGATCCCCGGGCTCTGGGGCATTGCCCGGTTTGGGGTTCATGGATCCCCAGGGTTTGGGGTTCAGAGATCCCCGGAGTTTGGGGTTCATGGATCCCCAGGGTTTGGGGTTCAGGGATCCCCGGGGTTTGGGGTTCATGGACCCCCGGGGTTTGGGGTTCAGGGATCCCCGGGGTTTGGGGTTCAGGGATCCCTGAGCTCTGGGGTTCAGGGATCCCCGGAGTTTGGGGTTCATGGGATCCCTGGGGTTTGGGGTTCATGATCCCCGGGCTCTGGGGGGTGGTACCAAGTTTGGGGGTGCCCGGGGTTTGGGGGTTCGGGGATCCCCGGGGTTTGGGGTTCAGGGATCCCCGGGCTCTGGGGGTGGTACCAGGTTTGGGGGTGCCCTGGGTTTGGGGTTCATGAATCCTGGGGTTTGGGGTTCGGGGATCCCGGGGTTTGGGGGGTTCATGGACCCCCAGGCTCTGGGGTTGATGGATCCCCGGGCTCTGGGGGCATTGCCCCGGTTTGGGGGTGCCCCCCTGACCCCCCGTCTGTCTCTCAGCGCTGCCCCGGGGCGGGAAGCACGCGGGAGCGGCGGCTGGGGGGCTCCAGGCCCCAGTTCGGGGTTCATGATCCCCGGGGTTTGGGGGGTGGTACCCAGGTTTGGGGCCCCCGTGTCTCTCAGGCGCTGCCCCGGGGCGGGAAGCACATGGGGGCAGCAGCTGCGGGCTCCTGACCCCAGTTCGGGGTTTGGGGTTCATGGATCCCTGGGTTTGGGGTTCATGGACCCCCGGGGTTTGGGGTTTGGGGACCCCCGGGGTTTGGGGTTCATGGATCCCCGGGTTTGGGGTTCATGGATCCCCAGGCTCTGGGGTTGATGGATGCCCGGGCTCTGGGGGGCATTGCCCGGTTTGGGGTTCAGGGATCCCCGGGGTTTGGGGGTGGTGGTACCAGGTTTGGGGGCACCCCCTGACCCCTGTGTGTCTCTCAGCGCTGCCCCGGGGCGGGGAAGCACGCGGGGAGCAGCGGCCGGGGGGCTCCAGGCCCCAGTTCGGGGTTTTGGGTTGATGGATCCCGGGGCTCTGGGGTTCATGGACCCCCGGGCTCTGGGGTTCATGGATCCCCGGGGTCTGGGGTTCATGGATCCCCGGGGTCTGGGGGCCTTGCCCGGTTTGGGGGTACTCCCTCACCCCCGTCTGTCTCTCAGCGCTGCCCCGGGGCGGGAAGCACGCGGGAGCAGCGGCCGGGGGGCTCCTGGCCCTGCACCATTTCTTCGGGGCCCAGGCGCTGTGGGTGGCGCTGCTGAGCGGGCTCTGCGGTGCTCACCCTGCTGCTGAGCCGGGCCCGCGCCCACCGCGGCCTCTGCCTGGCCCTGGCCGCCCTCAGCTACCTGCTCATGGGGGTATGGGGAGCTGGGTACACTGGGGGGGACTGGGGGGGGACCTGGGACGGGGACTGGGGGGCTCTGCCTGGCCCTGGCCGCCCTCAGCCACCTGCTCATGGGGTATGGGGAGCTGGGTACACTGGGGGGGATTGGGGGGGACTGGGGGGGGGCAATGAGAGGGCACTGGGAGGGACTGGGAGGGCAATGGGAGGGGAACTGGGGGCACTGGGAAGGACTGGGGGGCAATGGGAGGGACTGGGAGGGACTGGGGGCACTGGGACGGCACTGGGAGGGCACTGGAGAGACTGGGAGGGACTGGGAGGGGAACTGGAGGCACTGGGAAGGGAACTGGGAGGGCACTGGGGGGGCAATGGGAGGGGAACTGGAGGCACTGGGAAAGGACTGGGGGCACTGGGACGGGGTCTGGGGGGCTCTGCCTGGCCCTGGCCACCCTCAGCTACCTGCTCATGGGGTATGGGGCACTGGGAGGGACTGGGAGGGGAACTGGGGGCACTAGGAGGGACTGGGGGGACACTGGGAGGGGAACTGGGGGCACTGGGAGGGGAACTGGGGGCAATGGGAGGAGAACTGGGGGAACTGGGAGGGACTGGGGGGGCAATGGGAGGGGAACTGGAGAGACTGGGAGGGGGACTGGGGGCACTGGGAGGGACTGGGAGGGGGACTGGGAGGGACTGGGGGGCACTGGGAGGGACTGGGGGGCAATGGGGGGGGAACTGGGGGCACTGGGAGGGCACTGGAGAGACTGGGAGGGACTGGAGGGCACTGGGAGGGACTGGGGGGCAATGGGAGGGACTGGGAGGGCAATGGGAGGGGGAACTGGGGGGCACTGGGAGGGGAACTGGAGAGACTGGGAGGGACTGGGAGGGGGACTG